GACTCTACTATATTCTTAAGGTTCTTTACTAATAGTAGACTAACTAGATATAGAAATCTAGACTTCCGTATGGGCGGGCTGGGCGGGCAGGAGGCCTAGGCCTGCCCGCCCACGCCTGTCCATGGGCCGCCCATAAGTACCCCCTGCCCGCCCATGGGCCGCCCACGGATAAGGTTTAATGCCAAGCCCTGATTAGTCAGCCACTGGCGTATATAGGTAGGCTTACTAATTACCTCCCTAGGGCTTATTTTTTTATATTTTTAGCTATTAAATTGACTTAGTTAGAGCATTTTTTAAAATAGAGATAAAGAAAGGTTCGGATTTTTAAAATTGCAATAACTAAATAAATAAAATAGCTAAAAATATAAAAAAAATACCACTAGACCCCGATATATTAGTTACTTATATAATCGCCAAGAAATACTAAGAAAACCTATGGGCGGCCCATAGACACGTGGGTGGGCAGGTAGATGACCCCTGCCCGCCCATGGCCCATGAAAGGCAGGCCCCGCCCGCCCATTCGGCCCATGGGCGGCCGCCCACCCAGCTACCCATAGGTTTGGCCCGCCCATACGGAAGTCTATAGAAATCTAGGCTAGTATTTTCTTTATTCTACTATAGTACGAAGTAGACTTTAATTAGTACTAATAAAGTACCCTTATAGCTTCGTTATAAAGGTACTAGTAAATATAGTGGAACTACCAAAAATACTATAGAGTAGGGGTATAACTAGAGGCCCCTGCAAGCTCTTACCTAATTAGGAAATCTAGGTCTGTTTTTCGTTCTTTCTGGCTCAAAATTACGGTTGCAAAATCCCTCTATTGAAAGCTCTTGTCTGTGGTCAATGTGAGGCTGTCGAAGGGTAATCTATTGGGCCAATGGTGCGGCTGCCCATAGCCCAGTTCGTTAGTTGATCCAGTTCAACAGTACTGGCGGGGAGGATTGTCTCCGCAATCCTGCCAGGTGTTATGCCTTGATTATTATTATTATTATTATTATCGTTATTATTATTATCACTGTATATATTCGTATAAAAATGTGCTTGAGCAAGGTACTTGGGAGATTTCTAATCTGTCATTTCGAGCCGCGATCGGGCCCTGGACAATCCGCCCTCGGGGAGGCGCATCACCTAGTTATGTCTATCTAGCAGTGACCTCCCTTTCTCATGTGAATCTACTAGTTAGTTAGTTAGCTAGTTATAGCAAAGAAATATGATCGGGTACAAAGGGTGACAGCCACGATAGCCACGAATCGTTGGGATCAGCATCTTACAAGAATCAAAATCACTACGCCCGGATGGATTCATCCAACCAGCATGTCGTCATACCTATTCATTTCTTCTCCTCTTCTCTTCCAAAAAATGCGTTTGTCTTCTCTGTAGCTATCCCCGTGTGGGCTCTGGCCGGGCGACTCACGTGACACTATCAAAATGCCCCATCCACACAAGATAAGAGTCACAAACTATCGACTATCAAAAACGCCCGAGTAATTCCCAAACAACCTGTGCCAGCTTCGCTCATTCCCCGTGGTTAGCGGGCTGTGGATTGTAGTGCAAGCTGCAAAGATGGCCTCTGACCTTACTTCCCAAGTTTTAGACGTCCTCGCTTCGACGGACGAGCCGCAATTGTCGAACCATGTCTTCCCAACAGCCCCCGCGCAGAGCGTCAAGGCTGCTCTAGATCGTCTTGCCGCAAGGGACATGGTGTTGCAAGAGACGATAGAAAGCGAAGAAGTGTATCTACTGCCCGAGGCTGAAGGTATCGTCGCCAATGGCAGTCATGAAGCCAGGGTTTTCGAAGCCGTCAGCGCTGCGATGGAGGGGTTGAAGATTGCTGACCTGCCGGATATTGTTGGAAAGGAAATTGCCAAGGTCGGGACAGGAAACGCATTTAAAAAGGGGTGGATTAAAAAGGACAAAGATACATTGAAGGCAGCTACAGATTCGATAGAGGACACGTCTCGTGAACAGCTGGTTACCATCCAAAAGACGAAGACACATCCAGACGCCAAAGTTCTAGCGGAGCTACGGAAGCGGAAGCTTATCAATACCCAAAAAGTGTTTGTTTATAAGTTTTGGAAAGGCCCCAAGTATGCCAGAGAGTTTGTAAAGGAGGAAACAGATCTAACTGTGGATATGTTAGCGGATGGCTCGTGGAAGACGGCAAAGCTCAAGGGATATAACTTCAAGGCCAAGGGCGCCATCACCCCAAGTGGTGCCTTGCACCCATTGAATAAAGTCCGCCATGAATTCAGACAAATTTTCTTTGAAATGGGCTTCCAGGAAATGCCTACCAACCGTTATGTTGAATCTGGTTTCTGGAACTTCGACGCTCTTTTTGTGCCACAGCAACACCCTGCCCGCGATCTCCAAGACACATTCTATATCTCCGACCCGGTACAGGCGGATAAACCAAGGGCTGACCCGGAAGGTGACATCCATCTCTCAAGTTTAAACCAGGCCCACCGCTATGCTTCTTCTAAGACTACCCTCAAACCACTGGACTATGAGAAATACTGGCAAAACGTTCACGCTGCTCATGAGACGGGTTTCAACGGCTCTATTGGTTATCGTTATCCCTGGAGTGCGGATGAATCATTGCGCCTTGTCCTACGAACACATACCACCTCTGTCTCAGCTTATATGCTTCAAAAGCTAGCACAAAATCCACGTCCCGCCCGCTACTTCAGTATTGACAAGGTTTTCCGCAACGAAACTCTCGATGCAACTCATCTTGCGGAGTTCCAGCAGATCGAAGGTGTCATTGCAGATTTCGGACTCTCGCTTGGCGGTCTGATCGGCTTCATGGAAGTCTTCTTTGCTAAGATGGGTATCCATGGTCTACGCTTCAAGCCTGCCTACAACCCCTACACAGAACCCAGTATGGAGATCTTCGGCTACCATCCCACTTTGAAGAAATGGGTCGAAATTGGAAACAGCGGTATGTTCAGGCCGGAGATGTTGGAGCCAATGGGTATCCCAAGTGATATGCAGGTTTATGGCTGGGGATTGAGTTTGGAGCGACCAACCATGATCAAGTAAGTATCTTCCCCTAACTATCTCAACAGCCCTGCCCCTTTCCATTCCTCTAGTCCGTGCGAGCTATGTGTCTAGCTTTAGATACCGACCTCAACAGCTTGCTAACATACTTTTGTTTTCACTTCGTGAACAGATATGGTGTGAACAATATTCGAGATTTGGTAGGACATAAAGTAAACCTGAACTTCGTTGAATCGAATCCTGCCGTGCGCCTAGAGAAGGAATAAAAGAAGCACCATTTGCAGAAGCTATATTGTGCACATGAGGCATCAAACAATCCCAGTTGCCTACTCTCCACCTTACTCCTGCTTTTCTACAGCCTTACTTCAATCATGGGACGAGGATAATAGACTTGTCGAATGATACTCCTGGAATAAATTAATAACAAAAACAAACACCAACCCATTGTTACACCTTCTGGCTGGCTTTAAACCGTATTCTTTAGCCGCTGCAAGGAATTGTATTCATAATGACCGTGACGTGATCATTCTACCCCCTAGAAGAGCCATGGAGTCTCCAAGAAAAGAAAAGAACAAAATGCCTAAAAAGAACATTCACATGTGATGATTCTGTCCTGCCCGTATCTGTGCTCTGACGTGTGATCTTGACCGTCACAGCTCATCAGAAGGCAGCTGTTATTCTCCCGGTAATAATGATTACAACAAAAAGCTGGTTTTTGTGAATCGACCTCCTCGCCCATGTCTGGGAACCGGGATAGTTATTCACATATCTCGATTAGAACGAGAAAGTTGGGGTACCGGTTCATATGTAAGTTCAGGAAATAGGATAGAAGATGATGCTGGGCAAGTAGCTTGAGGAACAATGGTATATTTGAGAAACAAATGATATGATTATTGTGCTCTACCCACTTGGCTATCCAGGAAGCAAAATGGTGTAGTATGAGGAGACGAGAGTGGTGTACTGGCAAGGAGAAGGAAGTATTTAGAATTTTTATATTATTTCATTTTTTTGCTCTGTTCGTTTCCACCATTATTTTATTCAATGGGTTCGTATCGTCGCTTCCTCGAAAAAGATTAGAGTAGCGCCAGAGTCTTCATAATATCTGAAATTCCTGAAATATTCATTCCCATTGACCATTCCGTCCTCGTTTCAAGAAAATCGACCTGCGCACAAGATCACATCAGCACTTATCCTACCCCTTCAGTATTCTCTTAGGTTCCCCAGCCGCATATTTTGTCTGCTTGCAGGTAATGTGAATGTGCGGTTTATATGTACCATTTGACGTCTAAACCACGGTTTCTCTCCCCACGCTTATCGGCTTGCGCTCCAGACGTTCTTCAAGAATCCATCCCGCTGAGCCAAACGGTTCAAGCTGTCATCACCCTCACCCATAGCTCGTACGAATCCGGAGAGAGCATAGACCTGGTTTTCACCGGTGTATCGGCCGTTCTCATCAACCTTAGCGATGCTGATTTGGACGGAAGCGTGGTCCTTGGCCTTGATGATACGGTTGGTGGCACTGCACTTGCGTGGGACGTAGCTATTTCATATAGATTCTCGTTAGCAACTGCTGAGACAATTCGTTCGACCCTTTTAGACGATAGATAAGGGCTCGTGGGGGTTTGTGCGTACAGATCGACGATTTCGCCCTTCTCGTTCTCCATTTTGGCGGAATAGACGGTAGTAAATTTGTGTGAGAAAGGGTTGATCGAAGGGAGACGGCGAGGGAGTGGAATCGAATGCTATCTTCTCTTGTCGATGTCTTGATGCTTTTGCTGTCTGCGCGAGATAAAGTGAAAATCATTTTTTTTTCGGTTGTGGGTCATGTGATTCAATGCAGCGGGTGAGTTTAAGGTTTGGCTCAGTATCAAAAGTTTAAGTAAGATGCAAAGAGGGACAAGCACATCTCGACGTCTATCTAGGATATAAGCCTCAAGATATAATAAATATAAAGGCAGGATACTCCGGCTTCGTAATGGCGGTGGCAGCTATAGAATCAAACCTAGAGCGAGCTCTTATGGTCCTGCAGATGAGGTTTAACCTCGCTGAGCCATCGTACTTCTACTCCCCTGGGCCCTTCTTTTTTGAACTTCACCAGGATAACCCTTTCTGGATCACCTCTTTTGTCGGTTCCTTCCAGTTCCTGGCCTGGGTAGTTTAAATCCATAATTAACCTGCCATCAGGCATGCTCCCCAACGGCCGTGGGGAAATGAATTTATGAGACCATGCAGGGTTACCCGAGTGAATAAACTTGATCAGCTCTTCTCGTCGTTTGTATGACTCTGCTGCCGGTATCGGTGTCCTTTCACCTTCTCTTTCAAGAAACTGCGCGACGAAGCTCAGTAATAGCACCTGGGGAGGGAACATGATTATCTCGTCCATCTTCGCACGTCGTAGCCACTCCGATGCTGGGAGGAACTGCGCTTCGGTGATTTCCAACCCGCCATCAGAAGTAGGCGCTTGGACTTCTTCACTGCTTAATCCTGGATTTACAATGTCGCTAGTGGTATCATTTGCAGGAGGTAGAAAATAAATGTACATCTGTGTTGTGAAACGGCGGGCATTTATAGCGGGTGTTATCCAATGTGAGAAGGGAATCAGCATTTCTGTGCCCCTTTGTTAACATTCCAAGCATCCTCTTTGAAGGTATACCGTGAGCGAGTAACTTACCGGTATCTGCCTCAGAGTCTGCATCTACCATCTTTAACCATTGATCAAATGTGATCTCATTCCTATGGATGGCATGTCGGCCTTCCTCTCGCTCTGTTGGACTAAGCTTCACTAGCTGGCCGGTACTCTTGTTTTTCGCAAGCAGTATTCCACTCTCCTCGAACATTTCACGGATTGCAGCCTTTCTATAGTAGGCTCCATCGTCATGACTATCTGGGTGCCCTGCTGGTGGAAAGTCGCCGTCCTGGGAAGATATGTTTCCACCCGGAAATACGTGCGCTGACGGGAATGAAGAGGATGTTTTCACCCGATGAAGCAGGAGGACTTCATTTTGAGGGGATACAAGTATAACACTACCTTAGAGTTAGCGGAGTTATTGCCATCGTCGTTCTCTAAGGAAAACTGTTACCTTGAACTTGGCCGGGGGATTTTATAGTCGATTGCCTGCTTTTTAGTATCACTGGACGCCATTGGCTTTTGATACTGTGGTATAATGCGAACGCCTGAATAAGCTGCCCTTTGGGTATAATTTATTGTATTCTTTCTCTTCGATTGCGCTGCTCTGCGCAACGGATTGTCTTGACAAAGGCACGACTGTTGTAGAACCGTGGACACGGAGATATACCGCCGTAGTAAGTAAGAGGGGGAGATAAAACTAGGATTTACGCGACGAAGCCCATGAAAGTGACATTCAACGAGGACACAGGCCATCGTTGTGTCGTGATGTTTCTTGTGTATACGAGTTTGACCTGTGATAACTCGCCGGCCAACTAATCGACTAGTAATTGGAGGAACGAGTTGGGGAAAGGCTATCGATTATCCCGAGGTTGTTTCATCGTTATAGGCCCGACAACCGAGTTAGTCAACGTGATATACTAGCCGGCACAGGCAGTCAGGTAGTTACGGATATTCAGAAATTAAAGGTATATGAATTACTGTCCATTCTGTCATCGGCTACATAACTATCGCTTGAAGAATCCGTAAACTTTTTAAGTAGTTGAACATTAGATCAACTGGCATGCCAAACCGCCCTTGACCGACAGATACACCACCACTTCAGAACTCCTGAAACTTCGCCAGTAATTGAAATAAATATGTCAAGGAGATAAGGACTTAGCAAGTAAATTGGTAGACGTCACGAGGCCTTACTTAAGAGTACAGCTTCTTATCGTAGGTATGTAGGCCGTGGACATTTCCTTCGGCTTGGGCACTGGTAGTTCGGACCTCGAAGCGAACAGTTCCCTTCGCGACACCATCGTGTAGTTCACGCAAGCTCTTGACACCCATATCCTGGAACGAGTGCTGGACACCGGCAATGAGATATGGAACGAACTTGGTGATGGAGCCACGGTCTAGGACGGAGCCAGAGACGCCCTGAGCGACAAGCAGGCTATCCTTCTCAGAAAAATATCTGGCAGTACCGGCAGTGCTCTTGTTACCAGTGGAGCTGCCGCCTGCCTTCTTTTCCTCCATGGCATCAATGCTACCCATTCCACGGTAAGCTTTGACAAGTTGTCCTTCGCGGCTGACGAAATACTGGCCTGGAGACTCGGTGGTACCAGCCAAAAGACCGCCCATCATTACGGTGGAAGCACCCATGGCAAGAGCCTTGACAATATGGCCCACGTTCTGGACACCACCATCGGCGATACAGGGAACGCCGAAACGGGAGGCGAATTCAGTTACGCTGTGAACAGCGGCTGCTTGGGGTCTGCCAACTGCCATAACTTCCTGGGTGATGCAAGCACTGCCACTGCCCATACCGATTCTGAGGCCATCGGCACCGGCAGCAATTAGAGACGCGGCTTGCTCGCGAGTGACGACGTTGCCGGCAATGACGTCAATTTCCGGATGTGTAGCCTTGATGTGTTTGATCATCTCGATCTGGTACATGCTATTACCCTGGCTGCTGTCGAGGACAACAACGTCAAGGCCAGCCTCAACAAGCTTCTGAAGTCTGTCCTTGTCAGCGGGACGAGTACCGATTGAGGCAGCGCAAATAAGCTGCTTCGAGTCGGGAAGTTTAGAAGCAAGTGGGTAGTGGAGATTCTTCATCAGATCAGAGCGAGAAAGCAGAGAAACAATATTTCCTGCCTCATCAACAATTGGGAGTTTGCCCTTTTTGGAAGCACGAAGGACTTCGTTGGCTTCAGCTAAGGTAGTGCCAGAGGGAGCAGTTACAAGGTCGGTGGTCATGACAGCGGTAACCGGATCGCTCAACTCAGGGTGAAATTGGATGTCCCTGCTGGTGACAATACCAACCAGCTTGGAGCGAAGGTCGCCATTTTCTATTTATGAAAGTCCAGTCAGTCAGATCGTTCGACTTCTATAGACCAAAAAGGATTGGGTCATGGGAACGGGCAATCTCAGATCATAATCTGTTGCTCTCCAGGGCGGCTTTCGCCGCGTGCAGTTGAACGAAAGTTTAAGATAAGATGTACAACATCATTGGAAGGGGTTTGATAAAACACAAATAATACATATATATACAACTTACCAGTCACAGGAAATCCTCCGAATCCCCACTTCTGCTTCAACTCCTTGACCTCAGCGACTGTAGTCTTTGGAGAGATGACGACTGGGTCGAGGATAAACCCGTTCTCATATCGTTTCACCTTCCTAACCATTTCAGCCTGCTCTTCGGCCGAACAGTTGTGGTGAATCACACCGAGGCCTCCCAAAAGTGCCATATGGATAGCCATGGAGTGTTCAGTGACAGTGTCCATGGGAGAAGAAAGTAGAGGCACATTTAAAGAAATGCGCTTCGTTACAGGAGACTGCAAAGTTACATCAGACGCGGGAAATCCTGTCAAACGGACTCATCATTAGACTGCCTGTTCATATGGAGGGTTATCGATAAGGAGATGGCTGCTGTACCGATATATCCAGGGAGTACCAGGAAGTCATTGTAAGTCAAAGCCCCGCGCTTGTTCGAGTCAAGCAATTCCTTGATATCTAGGCCATCTCCAGACGTATACTCCGTTTTCAGGAGGTCCAGGGCCTTAGAGCAGTCAACAAACTCCGTCCGCCCACCCAGCGAGGTGACCGTGCTGGCTTTGCGGCCATCCCCGTTAGAGAGAGGCATTGCTGCGGGCGAAAATTTGTATATATTTATACCTGGCTGTAGATCAACGAGGGAAAAAGAATGTGAATAACCGTCAACAGCGTCTGACTCGAAAAAACGTCCTGTTGGCGGGGAGATATCTTTTTTCCCAAGGGAAGAAAGAGAAAAACCCGAAGAAAAAAAATCAAACAAGTAAATTTTGACATTTTATAGGAATATTTTCCCGCTTGTGGGTTGTGCTTAGTCATCTAGTTAGTAAGCAACGCCGTGAGGGAAGTCGACGAGAAGCGGACGGGAGAAGTCGAGGCAATATTTGAATGGTGATATGATAAGTAGATATAGATGACATGGATACTACGAGGTCTAGTTACTGGGTAGTTATGTAGTTAGTAACTGCTCACATGGTCATGAGCTGAGCTGGTGGTAGGAAATGTTTTTGCGGACGGCCATCCATGACGTTTGGAGTTGGAGCTATGGCTGCAGAGCACCACCCCCAGGCGTTTCAACAAACACTCAACACCCGGTGCGTGCCCGTCGCCAGCTGCTTCTCGGTTCCTATCGTCCGTCTTCTTTTGCTTGCTACTACTGTGCTACTGTGGTCGTCTTCTTTGTCTTCGTCCGGTTGCATCTTTTCCCTCGTGGTCGCTTCCTTAGTGTGTATTGAAATAACAAGGTTACTCGTAAAATACCACTTTGTCCATGTAAGATACTCGTCATCTAATTACATCATAACCTCCATGATGACTAATTAGAATGTAATATGCGCTAGTCCCCTTTAGGAACTATGTTTTCCTCCTTGCCTTTTTTTCTCCCCGCGAGAAAATCAACAAGCAAGAAAAGAACAAAAACAAGCGACCAAGCGACCAAGCGACGAGGCGACGGAGCGACGGAGCAACCAAGTCACATCTTGCAAGCGCTAAGGAGCCAGCCAGATATACATACACCTGTCGCATATAACCCCGGCCCTTCTTCTCCTCCTAGATAGGTCTCTAGTGTGTTTACCTGCGATTCTTCACTTCACACACCCGAGTCGCAACTTCGCTGCCCCCATACCTTATCATATCCCTGGACCAGACCTGCACAGAGAAGCATGGGACGCTATGCTCAGGCCGCATAAGGGCAATATCTGTTATAACACTGCGCTGTCACACATCTCCCGCCGTCAATGATGTCTTCCAATCCTCCGTCGCTAAGAAGAAGGGGTCAATCCGACCTGGCTCCGGCGTCACACGGTCCGCTACGGCATGGCTCGACTGCTTCAACAAACTCCTCGCTTTACTCAATGTCATCCAATTCATATGTGCCCAGTCGGACAAGCACCGTCTCGTCTCACGCGCCTAGTGACTTCATGCCGGACACACCTGAGCGCAAGACGGAACAGCGTGGACGCCTGGGAAGCTTCGATACACAGATGAGTGCTGGAGAGACATATGGAAATATACGTCGTTCCTTGAGGCCTCTGCCACAGGCTCCCAACGGTACTCCGCCAAAATCGAGGCCTTCCACATCTTCTTCCTGCCATGGGAGAAGTCAGACAATGGGTGGTCTCGTTCCGCAGCCCGAGTTTACATCCCCTCACTCAAGATCGGTGCGCAGCCAAACACCCGAATTTACTTCACCTTTCTCGAAACAGCTAAATAGCCCGTCTTATGATCATATGAGTCCGGTGATTCAGGAAAAGGATGAGCCTCTCGAGCCGCGGACTCAAAGCATGCGCCGTTCTCACCATACACGTACGCAGTCTACTCCTCATGCAACGCCATCTTTACAGACTTCTTTCACTGCACCGGAGCTTCAGACATTCCAAAAATCTAGAACAGGGCATCTAAGGACGCTTTCCCAAATAGCACAAAGTGATAGTGATGAGTTTGCCATAGCTACAGCATCACCCTCTGTTGTCGGCCTGCAGGGACGCCGCCGACTGAAACGAGCGGACTCAGTCCGTGGAGGGCCAAAAGCTGCTACCGCTTCGAAACCAGCCGGTGTCTCTGCCTGGACCGCGACGAACTGGATGGATAAACAACGTCGGTTTCTCCAGGCCTACGAGTATCTATGTCACATTGGAGAGGCCAAAGAATGGATCGAGGACGTTATACAGAAACCTATTCCACCTATTGTCCAGCTGGAAGAGGCACTACGTGATGGTGTCACCTTGGCCGAGCTCGTTCAAGCATTATACCCACACCGCACCCTTAGAATATTTTATAGCCCAAAACTCCAATTCCGCCATTCCGACAATATTGCGCTCTTTTTCCGCTTCTTGGACGAAATCGAACTCCCAGAAGTTTTTAGATTCGAACTGATAGACCTTTATGAACGGAAAAACATTCCCAAGGTTATCCACTGCATCCACGCGCTGTCTTGGCTGTTGTATAAGAACGGCGTTGTCGACTTTCGCATTGGCAATCTTGTTGGTCAACTAGAGTTCGAACACCATGAATTGGAACAAACGCAACGCGGCCTTGATCAGGCAGGAGTGACTATGCCTAGCTTCTCTGGCATGGGAGCCAAGTTTGGAGCCGAGCCAGAGCCCGAACCAGAGCCTGAGCCCGAGCCTATTGAAACAGAAGAGGAGAGGATAGCTAGGGAGCTGAACGAAAACGAAGACTCCGTAGCTGATCTGCAATCACAAGCTCGAGGAGCACTCCTTAGGTTGCGACTGGGAGATTTGATGCAAGGACTATGGGACCAGGAACACTTGTTAATAGATCTGCAGTCTAGAATACGTGGTGACTGGGCCCGGCAGATAGCCGATTATCGGTTGGGTATGCAGAGATTTGCTACAGACCTGCAGTCGGCCGCTCGAGGATTTGTAGTTCGGATGCGGCAGAAAAACGATCAATATTGGTGTAAAGCCGCAGAAGAGCATATCCTACAATTCCAATCTTTGGTCCGAGCCAGAAAAGCAAAGGCTGAAGTGCAGCACATACATACCTTGGCACGAAGAGAAGAACATGGTATCAAAAGTTTCCAGGCAGCAATCCGTGGTGCTCTTGCAAGGAAACTGGAGAACGATCGATACGAGGAGACCAAGGATGCCGAGGGAGCAGTTCATTTGCTCCAGTCTGCCATCAGAGGAATGCTCTTACGGCGCTCTGTTCAGATAGACAGGGGATATCTGGAGCGAAAGGCAGCCGCTGTCACTAACATACAATCAATTGCTCGTGCAATTGCTACCCGGAGCAGGATAGAGGATCAAAAGGCTTCGCTGGCCATGTTTAGCCAAAATTGGTTAAATATCCAGTCTGCAGTTAGAGCGAATGCCTCCCGTTGCAAGATCAAAAGGGATAAAGCCATGTTAGCCAAAACTATCCCTAGTTGGTTAAACCTCCAATCAATGGCTCGGGCAATCGCTGTTCGTCATAGAGTAGAAGATGAGAAGGCCACCTTGGCCCAGTTTACTCCAAAATGGCTGAACATCCAGTCCATCGCTCGTGCAAATGCGTCGCGCAACAGGATAAATGGGGAGAAGGCTCAGTTAGCCAAATATAGTCCCAACTGGGTGGACCTTCAGTCAATTTCACGGGCCATAGCCGTTAGGAGGAAAATTGAACAGACGAATAAAGAATTCAGCACCCATGAGGAATCAGTTATCAGCCTTCAAGGTTTCATCCGCGGGCAACTACTTCGTGCTGATGTCGAATCCTGCAAGTCTGCCCTTCTCGCCAGTGTTGATAGCATTACTTCACTCCAAAGCAGCATCCGAGGGTTTCTACTACGACGAGCTCAAAACAAAGATATGGAAACTTTACTCGATGAGAACCATACAATAAGTCGATTACAGGGGCTTGCGCGGGCAGCCTTGTTACGAATAGACGTTGGTGGGCTATTAGCCGAACTCGATACCTTCACGGATGAAATCACCCATCTCCAAGCTGTATCACGGGCTATGCTAGTCAGGGCGGATGTGGACTGTCTTTTAGGCGAACTTGAAGCCGAGGAAGATTTAGTTCTTGAACTCCAATCCCTTGCCAGGGGAAGTATGGTTCGTGAGCGCTTTGCGGAAAAGCAACGGTTCTATCGCGAAAACATGGAGAAGGTTGTCAAAGTCCAAAGCTTTGTGAGAGGCAAGATACAAGGACAAGCATACAAAAGCCTCACAAGCGGCAAGAACCCACCCGTCGGCACGATAAAGGGTTTTGTGCACTTGTTGAATGATAGTGACTTTGACTTTGATGAAGAGCTGGAATTCGAGAGACTGAGAAAAACAGTCGTTCAACAAGTACGACAAAATGAGATGGCAGATCAGTATATAACCCAATTAGACATCAAAATTGCTCTGCTCGTGAAGAACAAAATCACCCTGGACGAGGTGATTAAACATCAGAAACATTTCGGTGGACATGTCGGCGCTGTCTTGTCGAACTCCGATATTGCCTCCAAGGATCCGTTTGATCTTAAAGCACTCAACAAGACATCCAGAAGGAAGCTAGAGCATTATCAAGAGCTCTTTTTCCTTCTCCAGACTCAACCACAATATCTTGCTAGAGTATTTCGACGACTGCGAGAGCAGGCAGTTTCCGAGCGCGACTGTGATAGGATAAAACATCTTGTCATGGGCCTGTTTGGCTACTCTCAAAAGAGACGTGAGGAATACTACTTGATCAAGCTTATTGTACGCTCAGTGAAGGAGGAAATAGACCACTCGGCTTCACTTCAGGACTACATTCGATGCAACGCGTTCTGGACAAAGTTGTTGGCTGCGTACATCAAGACGCCTCGAGATAGGAAATTTACAAAGGATCTGTTCGGCCCTCTAGTCAAGGAGGCTATAATTGATAATGCTGATCTCGATTTGGAAAGTGATCCTATGCAAATTTACCGTTCTGCTATCAATAACGAGGAATTGAGAACAGGAAAACGAAGTCGGCGCAGACCAGACGTCCCCAGAGAAGAGGCAATCAGAGACCCAGAGACACGAGAAACCTTCATCCGCCATCTCCAAGATCTTCGTGATATTGTCGACCAAATTTTAGCTCTCTTGGAAGATTCGTTACATCGTTTGCCATTTGGAATACGATTCATTGCCCAGCAGATGTACGAACAGTTGCTAGATAAGTACGAGGAGGAAGATAGAGGATATATCTTGCAACTAGTAGGACAATGGGTATGGAAAAGTTACCTTCAACCTGCCCTTTTGGACCCGGAAAGGTCAGGTGTTGTTGAACGTGCTTTGACGCAAGAGCAAAAGAAAAATCTGGGGGAGATTGGCAAAGTGATGGGTCAGGCAGCGTCCGGAAGGCTGTTCGGTGCCGAAAACGTCTATCTGCAACCCCTGAACACTTATATTAGTGAATCAATACAGAGACTGGGAGGAATATGGGGAAACAGTAAGTACAACTCTCCTTTAATGCCTCAGCTTCCCAGTTTCTAACACGATTCATAGTTATCACTGTCCAAGACGCGGAGACTTTCTTTGATATTAACGAGTACAACGACTTGTATGCCAAAACGAAGCCAACCTTATATATCAAAATGTCCGACATTTTCTCGATCCACCAACTTATTGCAGCCGAGGCTCCGTATATATGTACGAGTCCTGAAGATATCCTTCGAGAAGTTATACGCGATCTTGGAAGCGTGAAAAGCAACGAGAATGAACTTATGAGCGTTAGCTCCTCTGAAATAAGCCTTACATTGACTCCCAAGCTGCATAATATGGAGGGTAAGTGGAACATACTCCCTGGGAGCTCGAGCTCGTTGCAGGAAAAATACTAATTTTTGGGGTACAGACCCAGATGCGGAAATCAAAGCGCTCCTTGTTGAAACCAAACGGTGTATCCTATACATTATTCGTGTTCAATCAGGGGCCAATCTGCTCGAAATCCTGGTCACACCACCAAGCATCGAGGATGAAGAACGATGGGCAGATCTCGTCCGCGACGAGTTGTCGGCTGGTGACCGAAAACGCGGTGCCTACTCTGACACAAACACGTTGATTGATATTGGTGCTATGTCCTATACCGAGCTGAAACGGACCGCTCTCCAGCATATTGTTGAGCTTGAGAGGGCTGGAAGGATAAGTCGACATAACCAGTACCAGGATCTACTGAACGAAATCGCTGTCGATATTAGAACAAAACATCGACGAAGAATCCAGCGACAACGAGAACTTGAGAATGTCCGCTTAACGCTGGACCGACTGAACGACCAATCCAGCTACCTTGAGGGGCAATTAAAGACATACAACGATTACATTGAACAAGCCATGATCACTCTGCAAAACAAGAAAGGAAAGAAGCGATTCTTAATGCCTTTTACAAAACAATGGGATCATGAGCGAGAGCTTCAACGTTCAGGTCGTGTATTCAAGTTTGGCTCTTACAAATACTCTGCCCGAAACCTTGCAGACAAGGGAGTTCTCGTCCACTGGAAAGGCTACACGGAACGTCAATGGGACCGTGTCGATCTCACGATTTCAAGCAACGCAGTGGGTATCTTCACGATTGACGGCAGCAGCGGCAACATGATGGTCCCCGGAGCAAATGCACAGATTCCCCTGGACGATCTGCTGCAGGCCCAGTTCAACAACACACAGTTCATGGACCTGTTTGAGGATCAGCTGCGTGTTAACGTCAATTTGTTCCTGCATTTAATTATGAGGAAATTTTATAACGAATAAGCCACTGGCACAAGTGGACTGGGTTGATCGTTTCCCTCGTGCCTATTTTCTTCTTCTCCTCACCCTTTACTACTACCGTTTTAACTCCCTTTTGTTGATGTCTCCTTTTCCTTATTCCCCCTTTATGTTTTTGTTTGTTTCGGTGCTTCTATACCATGGTGACGGTGCTGGAATAGCGGTTTAATGATGTCGCTGTTTACGTTTCTCTTTTTTATCTATTCGTTTTGTCTGATGTTTTACTTTACCCAAGATATCACTCCCTGCATCGGCATATATCTAGCTCCCATTACGAGGTATCATGATTACGAACTGGACATTCGTTTCCTGTATGCTAGCTTTTTGGCCCTTGCCTTTCTGTGCTGCCTGAACAGAGATATGTGTCCCGGTGGCACAACGTTTCTATTCTGTGTAGGTACCTGTATGAAATAGATACTTCGTCCCAACAGTAGATAGCTAGTTATACAATCCATATGATTTATGTATCGTACAAATCTGATATTTATTAGCAGTTTGTGATGCGTTTTCTCGTTGGCGCCACCCCTGAGGCCACTTTCAATGGGCGATGCGGTTTTGTCACGTTGTGATCGACGAACACCAAGAACGCGGCCAGTAACGAGTTAAAACCTCCTTCGCTGCTCAACTTGACAACAACCAACGCCAGCATCGTCGCCCAACGCCATCAACCACTCGAGGAGTGAAACACTTCCGCCGTCAATATCCTCCGGCATAGTGCGTTTTATGCGATTACACCCTTCATTCCAGCGACAGCCTCGGGCATCCCCCGTCTATCACGGCTTTCCGCCATCAGACCAACGATCACCCTTTGCAGCAACACTCCGCATTCGACCGATCGCTCTGCAGGAACGCCCGGAGACAGTATACGGCACTGTTGATCTATAATATTTTTTTGCTCTTTTTATTGGAAGTAGTATTTGAGTCCAGATAAAGGCTATTCGTCATGGACTTCAATTCGTTGAAGGACCAGGTCAGCAACCTGAGTCTGTATGATATCAAAGCAGGCGTCCGCAAAGTGCAAAATGGTACGTGATTTGAACAGGAATATAAGCCTGTATATGAGGCTTGCCAGTACTTGAGCTATCCACTATTGTTATTTCACTTAACTGACTCTGTGATCTGCCTAGCTATGATGAATTACACCGAGATGGAGGCAAAGGTTGGCGGCTTCTCTGCCATATGATATACTGCTCAAGCTCCGTGGCTAACGGTTAATTTTACTCGAATGTATAGGTCCGGGAAGCTACGAACAACGAGCCTTGGGGTGCATCCTCGACCCTTATGCAGGAGATCGCGAACGGAACACACAGCTAGTCAGTTCCATCGGCAGTATCAAACTTCGAAAAAGCCAATGGCTAACGTTTACTTTCATATAGTCAACTGCTTAACGAGATAATGCCAATGATCTATAAACGCTTTACGGAGAAATCTGCAGAAGAATGGCGCCAGATATATAAGGTATTGGGCCTTTACACCCCACCGTTATCATTGTATAAGTTGTTCGAAGGTTGTCTAACAAAACACTTTACATTGTTTAGTCTCTACAACTTCTTGAGTTTCTAGTCAAGAATGGTTCGGAAAGGGTTGTCGATGATGCACGCTCTCACATTTCACTTTTGCGAATGCTTCGCCAATTTCATTATATCGACCCCAATGGTAAAGACCAAGGAATAAACATCCGCAATCGGTCTCAAGAGCTTGCCAAGTTGCTAGGCGATGTTGATATGATTCGTGCGGAAAGGAAAAAGGCAAAGGCTAATAGGAACAAATTCGGCGGATTCGAAGGAGGAATAGGCGTTGGCGGATTCTCTGGTGGAGGGGGCAGCTCCCGGTTTGGTGGATTTGGCAGCGAAGATGCGAACTTCGGAGGCTTCAGCGGCGGAGTATATGGCGACGGAGGTGGCTTCAACGGAAACACCAGCGAATTTCGGGATGCTAGTCGGAGGTCAAACCGGTTTGAGGAGTACGATGAAGGTGATAATAGCGGATATTCAGCCCCTCGACGAAGTGAGCCAACCTCTCGAGCCGAATCCAAGCCTGCTCCTCCCAAGGCGCCAACCCCTGATCTGGTCTCTTTCGGCGACGATGATGAAGTAGTGGCGGCACCCTCCGTCTCCTCCCCTCCAGCAAAGACCTCGTCCACCACAAAACCTGTTGGTTCGAGTGGCCTAACTGAGCTTGCAGCTCAGAGCATGGATGATGATGAATTTGACGACTTCCAGTCCGCCAGTCCTACCACGCCGGCCACCAATACCCTACAGTCACAGTTTGGCTCAATTGCTCCTCCATCCGCACCAACCCAGACCCAATTCGCTGCTCCAAAGCCCGTTTCAGCTGCTCAAAATGCAAGCCTTAACGGCTTAGCCGCCTTCCGATCCAATCCTCAAACACCATCGGCTACTGGCACAACCTCTCAAGGATCAAGCATGGGACCACTCTCGCCCACTACCCAGTCCCAGCCACCCAAGCCAACCACCTACCAAGCTTCGCAGCCGAACTACTTCACATCTATTCCCACGCCTCAGCCCAAGCCATTAGAGTCGTCCAATAAATCCACCACAAAATCTCAAACCACAGGTTCTTCCAAATCAGGCGGTGATGCATTTGGGAGCCTATGGTCTACCGCTAGTGCCAACGCTGGTATCAAATCAACAACACAGACTCAGAGCAAGGGCCCAAACCTTGCAAGCATGGCTAAGGAGAAGGCAAGTGCTGGCATCTGGGGAACGCCTAGCTCAAGTAGCTCTCCACAAACCTTTAGCGGGACTTCCAGCTCTCAACAGCAAAAGAAGCCTAGCGGAGGAAGTGCGCTGGACGATCTTCTTGGCTAAAGCGCGTTCCATAGCGAGACGCTCATTGAATAAACCTACGATAGAAGTTTCTTTGGGGAATCTGCTCGTAGCTTGGTCTTCTGGTATATTTACGTACTTCAGAATTGGTTTGCACCTTCGTCGTGGGCTTGATTGCCAACTTGACCCCTTTGCTGGCTCAATTTAAATACCGCCAGATTCTTCCTCCTTTCCAGTCTCCGTGTAATTATTCCTCCAATAAAGATCAGATATGAATTAGTGCAACCAAAAACCCAACTAACTGTATATCCTGATCCTATTTTGCTACCTCGAGATGTATTAAGGTCTATATCGGGCTTGGCCCACTTGGAACTAAGTCGATTCTATACTTATAACAACCGTGTATGCATATTGTACTCATTCATTTATAGTATTGACCAATCCCCCTTTAGCCTTGCCAGACAATTTTATGCACGTCTTAAGCGAGGATATACACCCAACATGCAAAAGAGAAATAAAAAAATGAACATTAAAATAAGGAAAAGAAAAAGAAGGAAAGAAAAAGGCAGATGATGAAGACAAGAAAACCTAAACGGGATAATGATGTGGGCTAGGAAATAGAATCAAACATAGGAGCCGGAGCTGAAGAAAGAGATGATAAAAGTGCCCACATACATCAACCACCTTAAACCGTCGCAGACAGCGTATTCGGGTTTTTCACAAAGAATTGAAGGGCATATTATGTGAGGATCAGGTGTGGAATCACGTTGACTAGAACACGTTCCATGATTTGAAGGCATATGGAGGGAGTATGAAGGTAAAAGATGAAACTCATTCTCATAATGCACACCAGGTATCTCGTTTATTCGTCCAGGGTAAACAAGAAAAGAAAAAATCATGACAAGAGCACAAGAATCCTTGAAACGAGGTCCTTAGGCCGACTCAGAGGCTCGTTTAGACACACTCTTGGTTCTTTTTGTTGCACCAGAGTTGGAACGGGCCAACTGAGCTTCTGAGTGTTCAATCGGGGGAGGCATGGACCTGCTATGCTGATGACCACTAAGTAGGTGCGAAGGGTAGGGGTTTAGGTCTTTGCTGCTCGTTGAAAAGGTCGACACGACCGGAGGATGCTTTTCTCTTGCTTTGTCCCTTTCGGTTTCTTTGCTTTGTGTAGTTGGTATATCCACTTCTTGTGTTCCACTATCAGTCGCATCGATTTCAACCGGGGCGTGGGCTTGTGCATCCGTATCGGCAGTATCACTACTAATATGAGCATCGTTCAGTTGAGAGGCCGGTAGAGTGGTGGCAACCGGTGTTTGTTCGGATTCACTTCCGGCAGTATTAGGGTCAATCATGTTCAAATCGCCATTGAGAGAATTCAATCCGCCTTCGATATCCCTGACAAGGCGTACAAATTCCTCTGGAACCAGTCCACTTTCTCCAGTCCTCGGGTCTTCAGCAACGAGCCATCCCTGGCCATGGCGATAAGAAACTAGAATTACCTGGCCTTCTTTCAAAGGAAGTTCGTTTTCGTGCTCGCGAGTGAAATCGAAGAGAGCAACGGCTTTACCATGCATCTCCTCATCTGGAGAAACAATTGTAAACTGGTAATCTCGCGAGTATCTAGAAGGGTCGTTCCACGCATCGTCGTCTGATATATCGTCGTCAGAGGCTAGCTCGAAATCTCTATCGTAAGCTCCGTGGTTATGGGCGGAGCTACCTAAACCAGCACCTCCAGCCCCGCCTTGGTCGCCAAAACCCGGGTGGTATGAGCGTCTGCCATCCCCTGCTGGGTAGGTCACGTACTCGCCTCCTGGGCCATCATCATCCGCGTCTTCGTCTCTAACATAATATGTCTCGCTTCCATCTCCGTTAACACCAATCAAGACACCCTTCTCAGCATCACCATTATTGTCGGGGTCACCGAAACCCGACCCTTTGCGTCGGCGTGAGCCAGGTCTGCTCTCACTAGAGTGGCCGGACTTATACTTTCGATGTCGTGAGGTGGTGACAACGGGGCTATGTAAATCTTCGTCTTCACTATATGGAGGCCCATCGCCATATGCTATCGGAGGTAGTTGTTGCTGGCTGTACATGGTACCTGGGTCCCAATTTGGGGCGGGCCAGTGAGCGCGGGTGGCGTCCAGTGAAGATAGGGGCGCATCTGAAATCCTCCGAGATTCGTGGACTGGTGTC